GCGAGTTGTTGATGGCGGGGGCGTTGGCTAGTCCCGCGAAGAAGAAGTCTGATGCGCTTACGTTCGCCTCGTCCTTGCACGCAAATCCATTCACTTTTATTCCTGTTGCCAAAGTTACAAAGTTTTAAATAAGTAAATCCTTGATTAGAGATTAAAGAGTAATGGTAAATGACTAAAGTTTGTTTTGATTTAGAGAAACCTTTCTTTTGTTTTATTTGTTTGCTCAATGCCTACAATAATTCCAAATGAATTTAAGGTTAATTTAGATTCAAACTATATATATTTCGAAATATATGTCAATGTTTTATTGGATCAGATTGAATATAAATCAAATAGAAATTATCTTTTGGAGAGATAGTCGAGTGGTTGATAGTTTCGGTCTCGGAAATCGATATAGTTGGAAACAAAGAACTATTGATCAGGGTTTGAATCCAACCTCCCTCTCCTTTTCTAGATGAATAGATTTGTATATTTTTTTTTATTTTACTGGATTTGTCGTATCATACAAGAGAATGACTCGACTATCCCACCTAGTATTTGAAATCCTTTCCGATGTTCGTTGGTTGGAAAAGAAAAAAAAAATTGAAAATCACATTAGATTTGAAATCACTTTTTTAAGTCCCAAAATTTTCTATTCCAAATAGCATGAAATGGTCGATATTTGAAATTAAAAGGTACCTAATTCTAAATTTACCCAACATTCAATAATCTTCAACATGGTTTCATGGGCAAATAGTCATTCAAGTATACTACTCTCTCTTTTTTCCCTCTTTTCTACAAACATTTTTCCATTCAAGCAATAAAGGAAGATTTTCTATTTCGTTTCGTGTGTACTCTTGGTTATCAGTTTTCTTTTCCTTTTATTTCAATTTTGATAACAATGTCCCAAAAATAAGAGATCTTTAGGTTGATACATTATTTAAAATCTTTTTTTTTTTAACTTTTTTTTAGTTCTTTTTGGAAGTTTCCTTTAATTTATTGTGTTTCCCTATGATATTTGTTTACTTTCATTTCGACGTTTTCTTTCTCTCAAGATTTTTTTTTTAAATAAAATTAAGGAGGTAAGGGTTGCTGCATAGAAAAAAAAGTAAACATATTGATTATTTTAGTTTAGATTTTGAGATATATAATTCGATTTTTTAAGTTTTTTTTAAGAAAATATTTGTTTACAAGTTTTTTATTTTATTTTATTGACGAGGTGTATAATTCATTAGGTTGAATCGATTAAATGAATTCATTTTTATATATAGTTGATATTACTACTTCATATTCAATATTATATTATTATTAGTATAATACCATGCTAAATTATAATAAGGCCATAATATTAAAATATTATATTTTCTTCTAAACAATAAATTTTATCCAAACAATAAATTTTACTTTTAATGACTCGAATTGAAATTTGAGAGCATTTCCATATGTTAAAATCCTAGAATAAACCAGATGAAGCATATAAGGGTAAAAAACACATTTTAAATTTAGTAAATGTAATTTTAAATTTGTAATGATTTATCAAATTTTGGTTGAGGTATAATTAGATTTCTTACATTAATAAATCCTTTAGGGACTAAGTGTATTTACAAGACTTTAGAAAACTACTTTCGTTGAATAAACACTTCAACCTTGCATAATTTTTCCACCACGATGGATGACTTATTGGTTCAAAGGGGTTAGGATTAATTATGAGGGAATGTGTTCAAATCCATGATGTCTACCTACCTCGTAAGTTTCAATAATTTTCACACCTTATCATTGTGGTGTAATATATCTGACTACTGATATATGTATGTGATGTACATTATCTTATCTACTACTGATATGAGTGTCTCGTAATATGTATCTGATATACTACTAATATGAGTGACTATTGCATATATATACATCTAATATACTACTAATATGAGTATGTTTGATATACTACTAATATTAGTATCTCATATACTACTAATATAAGTGAAAATTTTCATTATATTTGAAAATTGAAAAAAAGTGATATATTTTGAAATATATAAAAAATTTTTGCTACCCACTACAATTTTCTAAAATTTCATTGATGCGTGTGTAGACAAGTGTGTGTAAAATTACTCAAATTTGTGACGATCTATGGCGTACCTTTGGAGGGTGCAGCGACACATAAGTCTTGAAGCATGTCGGGGTCGGAAGCGCGGGAGCTGGGTATTATTATTGCAGCTGCAGTAAACAGGACAGTGATGAAGAATTTTTTTTTGGATCCGGCCATTGCCGGATATATATGATAAAAAGATTGCCCAAATTAAGTGAGATGTGTTTGATCTCGGTGAAAGGAGGCAGAAAAACTATACTTATTTATATAATAGGGTTGAAATATTAGTATAACTTCATCTCATTAATTTAATTTTCACCTACCTTGTAAACTTGCATTGTAGGCCAACTTCCACTTGATTAAGCTACTGCTTTTTTGGACTTCTGACTTCTTATACTATATCAATATTCATGTGGTTTCATCTAAACAGTCAATTGACAAAAAAAAAAGTAACTTATGCCTATCATAAAAAAGATTGGGATCTCAAATTCTGACCAAAAGATTTGGAGTTCGAATTCCAACCCTATATTGTGTTCGGGGATAAAATATCCAATGGCCACGTGGAGGATAGAGATTGGCAGTCGGAGGAGATTGTTTTCAAGCGTCGTTTTGCAAAGCTCCTCCTCGGAACCTTCCGAGGAGGTTACTCTTTATTACCTCTAAGATATCTGAGCTCGACCCACTAGAACCCGACATATCCGACCTCAAAACCGACCAAGGTAACCGCCTGTCGTGACCTCTGTCAGGACCTCATTTCACTATCAGGTATCGATTTTCTCCTCGAACTTAATAGTGAGTCCGAACTATTTACTGACTTGAGCGTCGGAGATTTTGCCCTCTTGTGCAGGTCTCCCCAGTCTTTCAGGTCAGAACTAGGACCGGGTTCGAGGCAAAGACCCGTTGTGCAAATACTTGCATATAAACATATTGTATTCAAAAAAGAAAAAAAGATTGCAGGGTGTATATATGTTTTCAATGAAAGATGCTCATGATGTGCTAGCCCACAGCAAATGATGGAGGCTTAGCCTTAAATCCAAAGCAACTGAAACCAAATTAAAAGAGACCCAGCATCGTCTAAGAGTTGCGATTAATTAGTTTGAATCAAAGAAAAACCTGGCCAAATGATAATTGATTTATCCTTTTGAATATATTATTGTGAACCCTTTCTTCTTTGTTTCTGGTGGACGTTGAATTTTAGAACCAAGAAATTTGGATTGATTTTGATCTCTTGTAAACTTTTAGTACAGTTTGGTTGTTGGGTTCGAGGTTGAAATGCCACCCTCTTTTATTCAGGGGCAATAAAATTAAAGGTTAATTAGTTTAGTTGCATGATTTTAAATATCTATCGACATATGTCCATATTTCCATTAACATTTTTATAGTATCACAAAAAATCGATAAAATATATTTAAAATATGACTAACATTAACCATTTTAAATTATTTACAAAGGTCAAAATATCGATATCGATATCGATATTTCTATTGATATTTTCATAAAATTGAAATCTCGATTCTTTCTATTCACATCGACATTTAAAAGGGTTAGGTGGGATAATTAAGTCCATCTCATAATTTCTGCATGTAGCCTTAGCAACAAGAGAATTGTGAAGACTAACTTTAACAACCAGCACTTATTTATACAGCCTACAGGCTTCTTCAAAGAAATTAAATTCCAATGTATGTGTCATCTAAGGCACTGATCTCCTCTAAACATTGCAGCAAGCCCAACTAGAACGAAACAAAATTTCATGAATAGTTTCAAGAACATAAAAAAAATTAAATGGATTCAAATTTTTTTCGATATATTTTATTTTATTTTTATAATTTGGCCAACTTTGATAAGGGTGATGCATGTTCTAAACTTATCGTCAGAGAAATAATTGATAAATATTAAAACATAAAATAAAGTAAAACTTTTTAAACTATAGATAATAAATTAAAAAAAAAGATCAAATTCTAAGGGTTGTGACTAAATATATGGGAAGTATATGACTTCTTAATAGTAATAAATAATCAATTAGTTTTATCACGGTTAAATATTTGAGTATAAAAAGAGAAATTTTTTATAAAACAGACCGTGGGACAAGCGAAGTATTTTCCAATTTATTTAGTCAAAGAAGCTTGTTGTAACTTGTAACTCGTAATTCACCAAAAATAATAATAATAATAATAATAATCAAACTGATCATAATATATTAACCACAGTAAATAGGGGTACAGAGATGGAAAAAGAAGATGAAATCACGTTCTTTTAATACTTCAAAAGTACACGTATATATCCGTAAAAACCAAACAGAATGATTCTCATTATTAGCCGTAGCTGTAAAAAAAATCTCCCTGCAGAAAACGCAGCATTAATTAATTAATCAATTAATTACTTCTTCTTCTTAGGGGCTATCTTGGATTTAATCTGGCCCACCACGACACCACCAATCTGAAAAGCTCCGGCGAGGACGGCGTCGTCGACGGCGGGTGAGGCCCCGAACAAGGCGGCGGCGACGGACTGGGTTCCGGGCAACTGGCTGTTGAAGGCGGCGATAACAGAGGCAGGCTTGTCCTTACTGTTGCGCTGGAAGTGGAGCAGGCCCTTGGGGAACACGAAGACTTCGCCTTTTTTTATGGTTTTGGCGACGAGTTTGTTGGCGGTGGTGATGAAGCCCACGTCCAGCTCGCCGTCGAGCACGAACACGATCTCGGTGGCGCGTGGGTGCACGTGCGGCGGGTTGAGGCCGCCGGCCGGGGAGTAGTCGACACGGGCGAGGGAAACGCCGAGGGTGTTGAGGCCGGGGATTTTGTCGACGTTGGCCGCCGTCACGGCGGAGCCGACCGAGTTGTTGATGGCGGCGGCGTTGGCTAGTCCGGCGAAGAAGAAGTCCAATGCGGTTACGTTGGCCTCATCCTTGCATGGAAATCCATTCACTTTTATGCCTGCGAATGCAATAAAGTTCAGATTTAATTGTTTTTTTTTTATTATCTAGCAGCAGTTGACTTGAACCCAAGACTTCAAAAAATCGGATAAAGTTAAATTTAATCGTAAATTTAGTTCAATTACTATCTCTAAATTCGAATTTCCAATCTATTTATACTAAATAAAAAAATAAATAAAGTTAAATTTAATTTGAACTTTAGTATCTAGATTATAGTTTAAAATTTGTAAAGATTTAATCCAATTTTGTTAAGTTGTAATTAGATTTAATTTGTTAAGTAGGATAAATAGTTTAGGGACTTAAGTGTATTTATAAAATTTTGTCTTTTCCTGGAAGTAATTTTATAAAATTTTATTTAGTGTTATAATTAACAGTTAGGGTAGAGTTGAAATTAAAACTAAATAAATTATACAAAAATAGCTATTAATATATGTGATTGATTTCAAATTGTATTGCTGACATTTTTAAAAATTGTTACTTTACCTTTTATCTTCACCCTTCTTAACTTTAGTTAGGTATTTTAATGAAAATTTATTAGGGAGGTTAAAAAAGAAAAAAATAAATAAAGAATTAGGAGAAAACTTTCTACACATGCATGGGAACATTTTACATTGTTTAGCCTAAATTAATCATGTTCTATGTAATCTTAAGACCACCAATAATATTTGCTTTCAATTTGAACACTTAACAGATCGGATCATAGCATAGATTAGTAGTTTAGACATACTTCTAATTTTGGTAAAGAAAAAGGGTGAGTTCTAGAGGTTTCACCCCTCGCATAAGTATATTTGTGTTGTAATATTTTAAAAAAGAAAAAAAATCCTTATTGACGGGTGTAGGACAATTGTCTACATATTATTCAAACTATAACTGATACACTTTCTATGACCTCTAAGCATACCTTTGGAGGGCGCAGCGACACATAAGTCTTGAAGCAAGTCGGGGTCGGAAGCGAGCAAGCGGGGTATTGTTGCAGTTGCAGCAAACAGGATAGTGAAGAAGATGAAAATTTTGGATTCGGCCATTGCCCAAAACATGTGGGATGTGTTTGATCTCTTAAGGGAGTTTTGGTGAAAGGAGGCAGAAACTATATGCTTATTTATAATATGGTCGAAATTGAAATATAAATTCATTAATTCTCACCTACCTTATAAGCTTGCATGGTGTATATATGGTTGTTAATGAAAGAGACTCGTACGTGTTGGAGGCTTAGCCTTAAACTCAAAGCAGCTGAAACCAAAAAAGGACCCAACATCTAAGAGTTGCGGTTAATTAGTTTGAATCAAAGAAAAAACTTTACTTCTTTTTTTTGGTGAATGTTGAATTGTTTGGGAGCAAGAAATTTTGGGTTGGTTTTTATGATCTGGTTGGCCGAGTTCTGTTGGTGTTGGGCGGGAGAGGTTGAAATGCCACTGTCTCCCTACCTACAATTTTGTAATGAATTTCTTTATTCACTTGGAGAATGTAGGTATAAACATGCTTTTAACCTTCCGGTATACTAACCTTTTCTTTAATTTATTTCTAGAAATCGATCTTATGTAAACAACATTGTAACTAATGTAGGGTTCGAACTTAAGACCTCAATTAAGGTGGGTAGTACTACAAGGTCCCAAACCAGCGGTTGCCATTGTGCTATCCCCTAAAAACTTCAATGTATTAACATTATTGATAACATGTACGTTGTTTAAATTAATTTCATAATACCATCCATTAAACTATTTCCAAATTTCTAAAAATCGTCTATAACTATTGATAGTTGGGATAAAGTTAGCATCGTTTGCTAGTTGACCTATAACTCTTTAAAATCGAAGATAAACATTTGTGATCAAAATTCCCTATCAAATATAATTCATCTTCTCATTTGCATCAAATATTGGGATTTTGAAGGTTGTCTTGGACTTCCTATATATGCATCAAAATTCAAAGCTAGCTATTCCTTATGATCATATATCTAATGTTTTTATTATTAGTTAATGATATGCCTTTGGCCTACGACTGTATGTACATCTTTCTCTCATCTTCCTTATGGAATGGATTTCTGCATCAATCTTGAATGAATCTATTTGAAATTATTTTTAATAATGATAAGTAAGAAATATTTTTTCTCACTATCGATATGAACTTAACTTAGGATCAAAACTTAATCCCGATTCCCGAGAAAGAAAAAGGGAAAATCATAGCAAATACGTTACAAGAATTTGGGCCGTCCAGTTCTTACTCGAGTTGCTATATACGAATACCTGAGTACAA